CACACACACACACACACACACACGAACGTCTGGATCCATTGATAGATGACCTTTGATACTGATCTGGGGTGATGAGTATAACTCTCTCATTACAAAGGTTACTACGGTGAAAAAGAAAGCTGATTTCTAATCCATGCTCAAGGTGAAACTGACCCTATGGCTAGACTGTAATTAAACAGAATAGAGCACCAGTACGTGAAGCTAGAGCTTCATTGCCTTGTCAGCTACCCATAACTATAAAGACACTAAATCAACACACTTTACAAATTCCAGCTAAAACAAATGCCACCCTTTAGATGCTCTAAAAACCCATCAGTAGTGTTGTTGATTCCACCAAACATTACAGCGGCATCGAAATGTTTAAAATTGCAGTTAGCCGATTTCAAATGTTTCTTATAACTAGCATCTGGCCCACGCAGATTCCTGCAAAATTATACAGTATACATATAGGAAAAAATTAACTAAAAAGTGAAACATATAATGTGCCAGCACACTGGTGTATGTGCTTGAGTGATGGTAGATTTAATCTAAAATGACAAAGTGGTGGAGGGGAATTGAGAGATGAGAGTAAAACAGCTGAAAGAGAAAGACAGAACCTGTGCAGGTCTTAAATAGGCCAGGCAGTGAGGATGGGCAGAGAAAGAGGGGGCAAAGCAGATGAGGCTGGGAAAGAGGGAAAGGTGTTTGCCGGGTCTCTTATTGGGGGGTTTTATGAGCAGAGTGATTAACGAGGGGAACTTTTTAGTATCTTAATGGTATCTTAATGAATGTTACTGCCCGTCGGCCAAATGAGCCCCTCTGTCTCCCCTCCCTGCTGCTAGAAAACCATCCTGGCCAGTTCTGCTTTTTTTTCCTTTTTTTGTGGGGGGCGGGGGGCTGACTATTTGGGAACGTGGGCACATTGGCAAAAGCACACTACATGTGCTTCTGCTTTTACCATGTGCCAGCAGCTCTCACGTATACTCCTGTGTGAAAAAAAAGCACCCCAGACATACAAACTGGCTAATGAGTCGCTCCATTTCATGCTGCATGAAACTGAAAATGGCATCTGGGAGGTCGATAGTGTATCTTCTCAGAGGACATGCATCAGCCTTTCTATGCCACTCTAAGAAAAAAAATATACTGCAATGCAGCTTCCAGCTCAGTCAAGTGGACACCGATGGACTTCACAAGTAGTGACAGCCAACAACAAACTAATAAACACTCTAATAATGTGATTAGTCCAAATGAAACACATTTCAAACAGTGTTCAGTGAGAAAGCTAATCTCAAACCCTTATGCTCAGTGCATCTGATGTTTGTTAATGTGAGATTGGGGGAGGCGTGCTTCGGTTTGTATTACACAACCTAATAAGCACTGTTTAACCATGCAAATTAAGGTTGCTGCACAAACAGGACTGCCCTCATAAAAAAGTTACATTGTCAATTTGCTTTGTTCAGAGTAAGAAATGGAGAAAAATGAGAGATGACTGGGTTGGGAGGTGTGTGTACGCTCACTAATTGGTTAGTGGTATAATGTTTCACCATGTCCTTACTTTCTTAAGATAAGCTCAATTTAGTAAACAAATGGATTCCTTTACCAGGGGCACAAATTTCACTGCTCTGTGGCGGTAAGTAAAGCTGAGCAGGCTGTAAAAACTAACAGAATTAATGACGTTCCAAATACTCCTGCGGGCCATATAATAAACAGCACAGTGTGTAAACTTAACAGCCAAGTTGCCTTCTTGTTTTATTTAGAGCCAAACATAAAAAAGGCAAAAAAAATGACACCAACAGATAAATCAAACTACAAGAGACCGTTCAACTTTACAGTAATAGAGGGCTGGTGTGTTGCCAAACACAACGTTACCAGTTCGATTCTCAGGAGGCTATTTAAGCTTCCACAATGAAATCATCTAAACGTTTCTCTGCTGAAAGTCAACTGAGCGGCTCAGCAAGAGCATAAATGTGAGCCAAGCTATAAAAGTGAGATACTGTCCCCTGATCCTGCATTTGTGTCAGCTCTAGGATATCTGTAGAGGATTTAGGATATATCTAACTGGCTTTAGAGACCCTTTGGTCTTACTTTACAGCAGCTAGCTCAACCTTCAGAAGGTAGCATCAGATTACTTAGATCATTTAAACTATATCGTGGTGTATTTTAGAATAAATACAGAATTTCACAAAAAAAAAATTCCAAAGATTAGAGAAGCTGTGAGATGTTTTAAAATACAACATTGCCATAAATGCACAGCACCATGGAAAATCCACAAAGTGATAAAATGTAACAACTCCGTAGTTATTTTTCATGCAGTTTATAATCATATCAGTACATTTAACCTTGACAGCAAGTGAGACCAGAGATTGACACTATTTGCCTCTGCTTCACAGTTTAGAAAATGTAGCGATAAACAGGCCAACATTTACATCCTAATATTGAAAACCGCAGTCATTTTAACGCCTTGTTTACCTCGTCGGTGTTGAAAATGATCTGCAGACCAGAGCAGATCATCTCCACCAAGTACAGCAGGAATAAAGAAACGGCATCGATCTGTAGAGGTGACAGAGGGAAGTAGGGTGGATAAGATGCCATCAAAGCAATTACTATCATTTGCACATACACCGTATAATAACTTCATACTTATAAATTAGTCTTCAATTTCTCGCACAGTGCAGAGAATGAGACAGACTTTACAGTAGCTATTAAACTTTTGACATTGGAAATCATCAACAATGGTGAAGTTGCTGGAAAAAATAGAATAATCAATAAATAAGTTACCTCTTTTACATTTTTGAATGTCTTTTTCTCCCCTCACAGGCAACTAACCTTGCAGCTTTATTTCGATTTCTCTCTCTCTCTCTAGCTCTCTTGATGTATTGGCCACCCTTCACTAGAAATGCATTCTCCATTCAAATGCTACACACCAAACTGACCTCTGTTAATACCACTGACAGAGGAACAAGCCGTTTTAGTGCCAATTTAGTGCACAAGCACTTCTCGGAGAAAGTCATTTTTCTGAGCGTCTATGCATGCCAGGCAGAGGGGCTGAGGAAATGAGACATTTTAATGGAATCCCCCCCCCACTCAAAACACTTGAAACAAAACCTGTCACAAAGAGATTGATTGTCTATTTTATTCATCCTGTTGTTCATTCATCTTTAGCAAGGTTCACTTACTACAGACCTTCTTCTCTGACCTCATTTTTTCCTAAAGTTATATTAAATATGTGACACAAAATAAAATACCAGGGTGGCAAATTTTACTCTACATTTTTTACAATATACAGTAAAACCCCTAGGTAACGCACACACATCAAACACACAGGTGTATGCACGAAGAATTCAATTTAAACGCTCTTTTTTCATTTGGTAGTTGCCCCATTTTTTCACTTGTCTGCTTGCTGGCTGACCTGCAGGTGGTGGTAGTCGCCGTGCAAGTAAACCTCATCTCCGGTGTCCACATGGAATACAGAGTGCAGACACTTTGAGGGGCTAGGATCCTGTTTAAACTCCTCCACCTAACAGAGATGCACAGAGAGAGAGAAAGAGAGAGAGATGAAAGGAGGGAAAAAAAGGTCCAGGGTAAAGGGAGGGAGAGAGAAAATCAAAGGGAGAGACATCCATGGCCCCACAGAGGTTACTAGAAGAAACTAGCTATACTAGAGTAGCCTTCAACAAATTCAAAAACATATCAACCGAAACCTTTTGTATTGAGTCAAACATGGTGATGAACTTTCTTTACACACTGTAATGTCTGTCATGTCTCTTATGGTTGCACTGCTTAAGGCAGAGATGGCACCTCTGCTCTAATTCTATATATGTCAATTCTAACGAATCAAATTCAATGCTGCTTCTTGTTTCTCTATCCTCCTCTGTCCATTCTTCTCTTTCCCCCATGTCAACTTGTCACGACAGATTCCCACATCCCCGGGATTTCTTTTCTATAATTTTCTCAGGCATCTTGAGATAACTGCTGTGAATGGAAAAAAAATGAAATTACACTTCACTTCCTTTCAGCATGTTCTCTTGAGCTAAAGCTGTTTGTTTTTTATATTTAAACTGTCAAACTGAACTTCTTTTACTGCATTCACTTTTGCTGACCCATCAACGTCCAGAGTTTTTTCCTGGCTCCAAAGGCTGGGGTGAAGGGTGATCAGAATGTAAGCATAATTGGTCTGAATATAGTTAAGGCAAAAACTTGAGTCTTACTTAACAGAAGTCAGTGGATTTCCACATCTGGCTCCTTTGTCTTAGGCCATTTAAATGTTTGTCTTTGTTTGTTTGCCTTTTTGGCTCCTCCATTTCAATTGCCACTTCAGCTTATTCTAGCTTTCTTTGCAGCTTTTTCACTTCAGTTAGTCTTGCTGCTTAAATTTAATCAGCTACTTAAATCTTAACCACCATCTGCCTGCACTGTTTTTTTCAATCTATTATACCCATACAAATATGATTCAAAAGGTTTAAAGGAACTAACATTTCTTTAACATTTTTAAGCCGTTTCAAAAAAATTAAATGTTTACAATCCTGACTGCAAGAGTTCATCCCCACTACAATCATACATGCTGCACATAATCTGTTCTTTTGTTTTGGTTTTTAATAAAATAACCTGATAAAGAGTGAAGAGTTTAATCAGGGAACAACACCACACGCTACACGTTACAGTACAAACATCTCTGCTCGGGACCACATAAGGGCCAGATTATGGCAACCAAAATGATAACACTGTTTAAAACAAGACATGTACAACATTTTAGTTGTGCTTTGTCCTCAGTGGTTTGTTGATGGCTTCGCATGTGTTTGCTTCATCGACTACACTACACACCAAATCACAGATGGGCCGCCTGTCCTGTCGCACAGTTATAAATAATTGGCCCTTTGTCCCATTTTCAGCTCCTTCGTTTCTTTTCTCTACTTCTCTCACTGCTCTCTCTATCATTAAATCCCTCGTTGTTGTCTCCATTGTTTTTCCTACTTCCTACCTTCTTTCTTACTTCTAGCTCTCTATCTCCTGTACTTTACGCTATGAGCTCTTTTATTTGGGTTCTTTTGTCGTCGTCCCCCCTCACACCTATTTTGCTATATAGTCAGGTCATAGTGGAGACCCGCTGTCCCACTTTCACTGAAACTGCTCCATTTCTTGCCATCCCATAGTGAGTAATGCTTATGTGCGTATGTGTACAGAATAAGAGGGGTACCTCTGTCAGCAGCTAACGCTGTTGTTTATGTTTCTATAAAACTTGCTTTTGTGTAGTGGTCTCCCTGATTCTTGCCCCTGCAGAGCCACAGTGTCAAGTGGCTCCACTCTTGGGATATTTGAAGAGGCCCCTGATCTTGCTTATTGTTTCAAGTGCTGCAATGCGCCAATATGGGCTTCAATTTAGCAAACTACTTCAACGCCTGCTGTTTTAACAGTCCACTTTCATGCACTTATTTTCCATCTTTAGCTACGCACAAAACTCTTGCATCTCATCAAGTCAATTAACTGCAATTCCTTATCATTTCTCACTGAAAAGGAAATGACTTTCATTTTCAAAACCAAGTTATGTTAAAGGGATACAGTGAGCTCAATAACTGTTTAGATCATCACGACTAAATGATCAGCTCACGTTTTTACGCTTAGATCTGTGACCATATCCCTGAATTGATCAATGTTTTGGTCTCTTCGGGCAGTGTAACAAGCCGTATACAAAAACACTGACTTATTGGCCTATTTAGTGTTCCAGCAGCCACTGGCACATAATTAGCATTCGGAGCACAGTAAAAAAAATTAAAAAAAACAAAAGTAAAGTTGCAGAGTCCTGAACTGACAAAAAATGACTTAAAATATGCTAAAGAAATAGATGTTGGATTAGCAATAATGGTAAGTGGGCCAAAATTCCTCCACAGCATTGACAGTTATTGCAAATCCTTGAATAGCTGTTGTTGCTGCTGCTAAGGGTGGCCCAACCAGTCATCAGGTTTAGGGGGCAATCACTTTTTCCACACAGGGCCATCTAGAGTTTTTTTATTTCTTAATCATAAAGAACTTCATTTACACCACTGTATGTATGTATTAAGGATAGGGATGTCACAGTAACACAAGAAGGCCGGTGTTAGTTAAATATAGAAATGGAAAAGAGTGTTGTTTGCAGCCTTAATAAGCCCGGACAGTGAGTTCCTCTGTTGCATATATAAAAATTTGTATTAACAAATATTGTTCTGGATGATAACGCTGCCTGAATTTCAATGCAAATCAGCATAAAAGCAGAGCATCTATATAGCATGTTGTATCTGTTGTTCACTAGCTCTGTTTCATGAGTTTCTCCTGCAGTATTGTCCAATTCCTTGAGGAAAACACACAAGTATTATATTTATTTATTTGTTATAATTAAGTTAAAGCACCTCAGGACATTGTTTAAAGATACAGGAATTGATTATTTGAAGGAAGAGAAAAGATCTGGTGAAATTTTAAACAATGTATTCTAAGCATTAATATTTTTATTATCATTGTTATCATCAGTAATCTCTAAATGTTTCGGTATACCTTTGTATTCAGTACGAACAGAGCTGCTTTAAATAAACATAAACAGCCACCTCATTTGTTTATCAATGGCAAAGGTAGAATCTTTTCCTTTAAGAAAAGTGTAATTGTTAAATAAAAGATATCCTTTCTTCCTCATACACTATCTTATCTAATCAGTGGGGCACAGCTGCTGTATTTGCTCTGTGATATTTGCCCTGCAGTGCCCCCATGTCACAGTTTCCATAAAAAATGCCATGTACTTCGTAAGCGTTGGTGACGGGGCCATAACGAAAGCTGTTCTGTGTAATTAACTGTGTAAACGCAGCTTTGTAATTAAGACAGAGAAACTCTCTCCCCTAAATTGGATCGTCAAGGTCGAGGCAAGATGAAAGAGGATGCCTTTCAACGGTGCACACCATATACGCGCAGATACACAGGGACGCAGCAGGCTGCTCTATTAAAAAATATGCTCAACGAGGAAAAAAAATATTCAGGAGACATATTTTTTTCCTCATTCACAGCCTACTCTACACATTCATCAGTTTTCAGTAGAGGTGGCGTGAAATTTTCCTCCTTCGGAGCAAAAGTCATTGGAAATTAGGAGACTGCTGGTTATTAAGCCCTCAGGACTAAATCAACTGGCTCCTTTTGTTATTTGTTGTGATATGAAAGAGGAACCAGATGTGTCCAAGGCTGTAGCACTAAGAGGCTTTGATGAGCAGGAATATACCTTTGATCTGCAACGCAGTGTGTAATTTCGGGGGTGTTTTTATGCAAACATGCAGAAGCTGTACTGAGCCAGGATGAAACACTCACCTTATCGGCCTGTCTCATGTAACAGTAGAGAATTCCTCTCATGCACTTGATGGCAGAATGCTCCAACTCGTGAGTTCGTCCCATGTCATCATCAATGCGTCTGAAGGGCAGGGAACAAAGGCCGAACACATGAAGACAAACTGTCCCCTACAGCAACTCCTTTTGTTTTAAAAATGGCAAATATTACTAACTGGAGTCACAGTTGGTCTTTTGGTCAGTATTCTTACTCCTTAAATGTCCGAAAGTAACAGCAGAGATCTCACAACTTAATATGAAGGACAAGTTTTCCGAGGAAAAAAAAAGTCCAAGTAGTCAGAAGGTCTGATACATTGTAGAACTGTCTACCGGTAAACTGTTATTTTATTCAAATAAAATATGAGTGAAAGGGAAGCAGAACATCAGAACCAGCTTAATAAATAATAAATAAATAATGCTAAATATTAAGTCTTTAATTCCTTACTACCTTTTGGTCAAGCCATTTTGTTCCCAGGTTTAAGCAAATAACAAATAATAAATAACCTGCTGAACCCTTTTTGGGGTAAGAAAGATAAAAAAATTTAAAAAATGAATCAGGTTTAGGTTGACATAACCCAGATCAAGCCAAACTTTTGCATTCATAAAGCTAGAAATGTTTGCCTAGCCCATATTTCATCAATAGGATTGTGGATTCATCCTAAATATTATTGTGATACAGAGAACTACCATGTGATTTTGACATGGACAACATAAATCCTGATCTGATGAGGACTGGAAGAGTAGTAATGGTCAATCATTTTGTTCCGTTAAAGCTGTCAGTTGGCCAGGACTGCTGTGAAGATCAAACTGCTTAACCCAAGACTAAATACAATGGTTCTCTGGCTGTTTCAGTTACCTATAGCTATGAAATAATGATCATACTGTGATTTTTTTTTTTGCTCTTTAGACTTTCCCACACGTAGTACTGATTTTGAAGTATATTAGTCATCAGTGCTGATAAACCAACAGAAGCTCTTAACAATTTACACAATTTACATTTAATAGTGAATGCAAATTAACAAAAAAATGAATGAATGCACTATAGAAAAATGCATTCAAATTGTGGGGAAACAATTCAGCTTTAAATGAAATCTGTTAGGTATAGAAAAGAAAAGTTTTGAAAGTCCTGAAATGAATACTGGTAGTGAAATGCCACTTTGTTCCTCGGTTGCAGCGACCACAGTGCGAATCAGCTCATTCTTTCTGAGGCTGGCAGATGTCAGATGTGTTTGACAAAGGTCAAGCTAGTAATGACTCTGGCTAACAACAAAGGAAAGCTAAGCCACTGATGTTATACTTGTTTAAAATTTCCGAGGTACACAATGCATTAATGACTGCCTTCAAGACATGACCCCGTGCATCAAAACTGACTGCATGGACTTGTTAGTGAGAGGAAATTTTCACTAGAGCTACCCAGTGTCATTAACAAGAAAATGTATATAACAACTAGAAAAGTGAGTAGGCAAAGCTGCAGATAAAAGCTATCATGTTTCCTTAAAATAGAAGTTTGTGGTAACTCCAACTGCCAGTCTTGTCATTGAATCTCACACACACATACTCAAACACACACAGCATCTGGGTGTGAAGTAAGTAATGGCACTATCCAAGCCTGTCAGATGAGAATCATCTTAATTAAATCCCAGTGACAATTCTAATAGGAGGCAGCCATGACTGATGACTGGGATCTGCCTCTGGTCACATCACTGCAGTACACTCTATTTTTACCCCGCTCTTTCCCTCCGTCTTCCCCCTCCATCTAGTTTCCTCTCTGCCTCTCTCGCCATCTTCCACTTCTTCTTCTCTATTGCGAACCCTGACCAGCTTAAATCTCCCCTCTACCACTCCCGCATCTCCACTTTCACTCTTTCTTCTCGTATACCTCCCCTTTCCAATTCTGCCTCCTTCCTCTTTATCTTTTTGCCCCCCACCCTTCTTCTGTGCCCTGTTACAAGCTCATTTTGTGGAAGTGCTCTTTCCTTAAGAGGAATTTGGGCATCAACACAGGGGAACATTGATAAAGGAGTTTGGTGGCCCCAGTGAAATTTTGAAATGTTCTTCTAGAAGTAATAACCCCTATGTGGTTAAAAAGCAAAGCCTCCAAATGACAGAGGCAGATTAAAGATGAGGATCAGTAAGCATGAAAACGAAGAGAGCGGGGAAAAACCTGTGAAACTAACTGGGGCTTTTTGGTCAGCTTTCATATAATGCCCAACAAACTGAGCTGTCCATCTATTTTAGTATTTCTTTTACACCAGCGTTGCTGTGATGCTGAAAAAAGGCAATACATAGGACTGGTTTTTCAGCTACTCCTGAGTTTATGGGTCAGTGGCATATTCAGAAGCACAACATGCTGCAACCATCTATCACTATATAACAGCAAGAAAGACCTCTGCCCACAAGAAACTGGACTCACTGCAATAACCATCTGTGTTTATGACCTCCGCCTCCACTACTCACCATGAATTTAGATTTCAGTCTGAGATACTCTCACAACAGTAATCGAAGAGTTCTTTAAAAAGTCTAACTGAACATAAACATGAGTTCTAAGTTTTTAACTTGTACAGATCACTAGCTGTTTACCCATATTCTATGATTGCACCAATTACAGACCCTGCAACCTCTAGCCTGTTGGGTTGGGTGTGTGAAAAGACATATTTTCAAATAATTTCAAGGATTGTGTGCACTTGTTAGTACAACTGGGCTTATCTTGGAGCCACACTCACCCACAAACACGTACATGTTGGTAATCTGCCAAACAGCTTTGGTCAAGTTGAGCTTTCTATGAGTTTTGTAACTCAATTTTAGGTAAAAAGCACTATCTTTAGCACACAGCTAAGGTGCCAGCTTCCTAAGTCCACACAAATTTTGGAAAAAGACATATTGAATACTTATAAACAAACATATATTACACAGTTTAATTTGCATGCGTGTGCATTTTGCATACTAACCGATATGCCATTGCCAAGGCCCAGGCACTGGCAGCACAGTACAGAGAGTCCCGGACCTTTGCCTCTTTGCAGGTAGAGCATGTTTTTACTGGGAACAGACCAGTGGTGGGACTCTGGTAGTTCAAAATAGTTGTCTTGACTAAAAAGACACAAAAAAGATAGAGACAGACAGAAGAAGTGGTGGGTTAATAGTTGCAAAACTGGAAATGTCATCTGCTCACAGCTAAGTAGTTGAAAGGCCAGTGAAGAAAGCGCCTGTTTTCTAGGCTGTAAAGTATTCTCCTGCAGCTCTTTGTTACGAATATCAAAAGCATCTCGTTCTAACTGATGAATTAGGTGGTAAATCAAGAATCAACAGAGTAAAATACAAAAATGAAATTTAAAAAAACAAACCCCCCCCCCGCAATAAGATTCTGTTTAAAGCGCAATAAACAAATCAGATAAATGTAATAAATAAGTATAAGATGAGAGAGAGAGCACTATGCGCCTCACAGCTTCAATGTCAGGGGCAGAGAAATAGTGGACCTCCCAGCTTCAGCGTCATATAGAGGAGCCCAGAGCAAACCCAGCAGCAAGCCTTAAAAAAGGCTATAAATTTATATATAAAAAAATCCAAAATAGCTGCAGCAATCTAAGGAGAGTGGGCAACCAGAGTTTTACAACTTAAAGAAATTCTGCACTTGTGAGCAATTGTTGCAGAGAATCACCACGTTACCAATGACTGTGACACTTTTCATATGTTTTACTGTTAATGAATAAGTACTTTTTAAGATTGTAATGCACTTCAATAGATTCTTACAATATTAAAATACAACTGAATAAAAAAAAACTATAATACACAAAAATATTATTCAAATGCCTGATAGATCTGGATAGATGCATTTTCAGCTGTTTGTTTGTTTTTTGTTTTTTTTAAAGAAGACACAGAGTCAAGGGTGCAAAGAGAGAGAGGTAAACTGCTCCATAGTTTTGGCACAAATGTTTGAAAGGCAAAATCCCATTTATTTTTTAGATCGGTACGTGGAATCACCAGAAGACCACTATCAGCAGATCGAAGGAAGAAGCATGATGTAGAAGATGATGTAAGTGGGGGCCTCTCCACATCAGGCCATGAAAGTAAGAGTCAAGATTTTAAATTGAGATCTAAAACTAAATGGAAGCTGGCGCAGACTCTTTAACAATGGGGTGATATGTGAGAATTTGTGAGTGTGAGTTAAAAGCCTTGCAGCAGCATTTTGGACAGCTTGAAGGCAATTTAAAGAAGCCTTCAATATTATAATCATGAGGCAATGAAGGCATAAAAAAGCATCTCCAATTTACCTTTAGAGACAACAGTCCTGAGTTTAGTGATATTTCTTAAGTAAAGAAAGCAATAGCAGGTCATAGACTTGATGTAAACATGAAAAGTCAAAAATTGATTAAAAATTAACCCAAGATTTGAAGCTGTAGCTTTTACAGTGGATGAGAAAGATCCCAAATGATGTCTAGTCTGGGGCTTAATGCTCTCTGGAGCAAAAATTTAACACTCATCCAACCATTAATTTCCTTAAGAAGTTCCATTAGAATGGATAGTTTATCTAACTATAAGGTTTGGAATAACGGTACAGTTGAATATCATCTGCATACAGATGATAGGAAATGGATTTCAAACTAATTATAATATGGCCTTGTGGCACAATATACCAGTTAAACAACAAGGGACTTAAGATAGATCCTTGCGGAACGCTGCATGATAATCTAGCTACAGCTGACCAAAAGTTTCCCACTGACATCAAAAGTGTTCAACTCGCAGAAATGAACTGAACAACCCCAAGATGGAGCTAGACATCCCTATCATGTGATTTAAGCGGTGGAT